ACAGATGTGCCAAAAACGAAGTACTTCGGAAGCTCCATGAAGTTATACTGCTCTGTTGGAAACAGGAAGCAGTACCGCAAGATTTCAATGATGCTTGGTTTGTACAGTTATACAAAAACAAGGCAGATAGAAGTGACTGTGACAGATATAGAGGTATGTCCCTGTTGAACATCATTGGAAAAGCTGTCATTTGCATTATGCTCCCTGGGCTGCAGTCTCTGGGTGAAAGAAGCTATTCTGAAAGTCTAGTGCAGTTTTCGCTCAGTACGCTCCGCCATCACTGCATCTCCAGTAAAACCAAAGAAGTGATTCTCCTGCTTTACTCAACATTGGTGCGGCTACAGCTGGAGTACTGCATCCAGTTCTGGGCGCCACACTTCAACAAGGACATGCTAAAGCTTGAGAGGGTACACAGAAGGGCCACCCGTATGATCAGGGACTTGCATGGCAAGTCATATGAGGAGAGGCTGAGGGATCTCGGACTCTTCAGCCTAAAGAAAAGAAGGCTGAGACGGGACCTGATTGCAGCTTATCGCTGCGCGTTCAACGCCTGTCCACCAGGGCACCTTGGGGAAAAACTAGAAACACCAGCCACAAACTCCTGGAAGATAGAACATTAGGAAAAGCTTCTTCACAACTGGGGTATCCGAACCATGGAACAAGCTCCCCCAGAGGTGGTGCAATCATCTACCCTAGAGGTTTGCAGAGAAGACTGGATGGCCACCTGGCTGGGGTCACCTGACCCCAGATGTCTTTCTTGCTCGTGCAAGGGCTGGACCCAACAATCCTTCGGGGTCCCTTCCAGCCCTATGATTTTATGACCATTGAGATTATATTTTTGGTAAAGCAGCTGCAAGAGAAGCGTAGAGAAAAATTAGTACCCTTGTACATAGTCTTTATCGATCTGACAAAGGCCTTTGATATGGTTAGCAGGCAGGGCCTTTTTACTGTTCTGAAGAAACTGGGTTGTCCCCCTAAACTGTTGAACATCATTCGCTTATCACATTAAGGTATGAAGGCAACAGTACTGTATGAAAACAAAGAATCACAAATGTCTTTGACATCAGGAATGGGGTGAGACAGGGGTGTGTCTTAGCCTTGGTGCTCTTCTCATTTCTGCTCCTTCATGCATTCAAGGACAGCAATGATGGCATTTATCTTTGAACCAGACTAGACATAGGCTTGTTCATTATTGCAAGATTTAGAGCAAAAACCAAGGTGAAAGAGCTGGTTCTGAGAGATTTCCTGTTTGAGGATGATGCAGTCTTGACTGCCCACAGGGAATCTTCCTGTAAAATCTCTTGGGCAGATTTTCTGAGTCATGCAAGAGCTTCAGGTTGAAAATTAGCCTCAAGAAAACTGTGATCATGTACCAAGAGGTAGAAGAACCAATACCTGATATCACTCTGGAGGGTAAATCTTGGTGGTGTCAACAGGTTTTGTTACATAGGTTCTACAGT